TATTTGTTAAGAGAACGGTAATTGCTTGTCAGATTTATTCCTTAGTTGCTTTTCCTTGTTCTTTTACAGTCCATGACAACTGGCTATCATATTAGATGCCTTGTTATGATTAGCTTTTTTCTTTAGTAATTTTATTTCTCACTATGAATGTAGGGCCATGGGCATTGGGTTAACTCATTAGCATTAAGCACCGAATATGTACTGCGTACTGGCGCTTTTGATCATGACAGGAAGAATTTTTCTTCTCCGGAGGAAATGAAAAAGGTAACTTTTGATGTTAAAATGTTTTTTAAAAAATAGTGTTCCCTCTCACTCAAATTTTTGTACTATTTGCTCACATTCTTCAGGTAGCATTAGAAAGATACAATAAAATGAAGGGTAATGCCCCTGAAAGATTGGTTTCTGGATCAGATGATTTCACAATGATTCTTTGGGAACCGGCTGTCAGTAAACACTCCAAAGCGCGCATGACAGGTCATCAGCAGGTATGGGTGTTCTCATTAGAAAAGATTATCTTAATTGATGATAAAATCATGAACCTTTCCTGTTCTTTACACATGCAAATATTAATTATTTATATTTCTTGTTTGCAGCTTGTCAATCATGTTTACTTCTCCCCTGATGGACAATGGGTAGCAAGTGCCTCATTTGATAAGTCAGTCAAGCTATGGAATGGCAGCACTGGAAATTTCATTGCTGCTTTTCGCGGTCATGTGGGACCTGTTTATCAGATCAGGTGAGTTTACGGGAATATCTGTAGTGATTTCAGATTTACTTATGAATGCTGATGTATTTATTTACTATGATCATGTTATCTTACAGCTGGTCAGCTGACAGTAGGCTGCTTTTGAGTGGGAGCAAAGACTCAACTTTGAAGGTAAGAAAATATGCATTTTTCTTGGTTCTTGTCAATCAGAAGAGGAATTTGATTGGAATTATCATAATTACCCATTGTGGTGCCAATTTCTGGCTCCGGCCTATGTGCCTTCGCATGATAACTATACTTTGTTGCGATACTTGTGAGGAGTCAGTCACCTAATAATTGAAGTACATTTCATTGTGGGCAATTCATTTTCAGACAATGATAGGACAACCATTTTATATTAATATTTGTACTATAGTAAACTTTGATTTTTTAAATTGGAAATATATTTAGTAGATAATTAATTTTTAACTACCCTTTCTTCTTAAATTATTGAGAATGAATAATGAAGTGAATTCTAAAACAACCATGAAATGACAATGAGTTGAAATATTTGTTAGTCATGTTCTATTGCGAGATCGATATCGTAAAATGAACAAAGAAAGACATGGAGAATGATTATATAGACCTTAGCGTATATTTCCTTTGTCCCTAAAAACACTTGTGTTTGACTTTTCACAGCATTTAAGGTAAATATAATTTGGGATACTTTCTCGTTTTACGGTTTTACCCTTCAATCTGTGGTCTTAGAACAAGTGGTCCATTTTAGGCAGGCTACATAATACAAAAATGCTTCGCTTTGAGAAGGGCTTTGTTTTCTTGTATTCAGGTTTGGGATATTCGGACACAAAAGTTGAAACAAGATCTTCCTGGCCACGCAGATGAGGTAAGCTCTGCTCCTTTCCAAGGAAGTAAACGGCATGGAACGGTTTTCACTGTCTAATAATAACATGGTTTTTAACGTTTTGAAAGGTCTTTGCTGTGGACTGGAGTCCAGACGGCGAGAAGGTTGCCTCTGGTGGTAAAGACAGAGTTTTGAAGCTTTGGATGGGTTAACCAATATGTCTGTCACCCAAGATAAGTTTGGGTTCTGTTGGGTTTCGGTTTTGGTCCAAAGCATTAACATTTTGAAAGTCTTTTCTTTTGGTTGGCTAAGAATATATCTGTAACACAATCTCCCATGGAATAGAAATTTGGGTTCTGTTAGTAATTAAATGTTCTAGTTCTTCCTATATGCTTGTACTTGGAACTCTTGATATCCTTTGATATAGTTCTTCCCATTTGATATCCTTAGATATAAGTAGACTTGGTTAAGGAATACTAAGCTTAGCCTTTTTAGTTTACACCTTTAAATGATATCGACATTGCAATTGTTTTTAAATAATTACTTTTTTAGACCTGACAACCGGGTTCCGGTTCAGGTTCGGGTCTTTTTCGAGTATGCTTCCTCGGTCCCAAATTAAATCATATGTTTACTATTTACATGGTCAAACTTTATTCATCATCTTCTTCTTATCTATTTTCATTAGTAATTTGATAAAATAATATAGTCATGTCACGACTAGTTTTGTACTCCCTCCGTCCTAAAACTCTCTTCCCGTTGTGCAAAACAAAGAAAAATCCCAAGTTTTTTCAATCTATTTTATTTAAATATTGGTATAGAAATAAAAAACAAAGCATACATATTTAAAAACTACATCAAAAGTTCAACAAAACAAGTGGTGACAAGAATATTTTATTTTATCATATAGGCCATGAAAAAACACAAATAAATATAAATTCCCGTGAAGTTGGAATAGTGCTCTGGGAAGAAAGTTTTAGGACGGAGGGAGTAGATCTTTTGATGTAGTTTTCAAGTACTACCTTCGTTCCTGAGTATTTGTCTAGTTTTGACTTTTTTCGGTCAATTGTTTTTAACCTTTGACCTGTAATAAATAAAATATACATTGTATTTTAATGAAATAAAATAATATTTTGAAAATATTTGATATAACAAATCTAATACAACTCTTTTTGTATCAATATCTAATGTTTTTTTTATTTAATTTGAGGTTAAAATTTACCAATTTTGACTGAAAAAAGTCAAAAGTGGACAAATACCTTCGTCCCTGAGTATTTGTCTAGTTTTGACTTTTTTCGGTCAATTGTTTTTAAACTTTGACCTGTAATTAAATAAAATATACATTGTATTTTAATGAAATAAAATAATATTTTGAAAATATTTGATATAACAAATCTAATACAACTCTTTTTGTATCAATATCTAATGTTTTTTTATTTAATTTGAGGTTAAAATTTACCAATTTTGACTGAAAAAAGTCAAAAGTGGACAAATACTCAGGGACGGAGGGAGTATGTAATTTTTGTTTTTTGGTTCTACATCATTTTTTCATATAAAATGATTTAAAAATAACTTCAGTCAAACATCGTAAATCAAAACATGTAATATAAATTGGGACGTAGGGAGTATGTTATACTCCGTAAATTATAATCGGTTCGGTTCAATCTGATTCCGAGTGTAATTCGGTTTGATATTTTTTCTCGGTTTCGGTTTGGTTTTATTTCGGTTCGAGTTTATATCTGTTTGGGTTTTACCGGTTCGGGTTTTTACTAGTCCAGATGAGTTTCATTGTTACTAGAGTTCCTAATATTAGTACTGTGTATAGTCTTTCCTCCCTGTGTATACAGAGTGTATATATACACGTGTCAGCAATAATGTATCAGTATATCCATCAATGTATGTTATGATGTTACTATAAATTATATATACTCTGTATAAAAATAGACAACTACTTTTGTTTAAGTGATACCATACGAAATAAAAGATTTGTACATAAACTTAGTTGTACCTATAATTAGGGGTGTAAACGGATATTAATCGGATCGGATGTGCCATTACCAAATCCGTATCCGTTTATTTTTGTCGGATATCGAANAAATATCAATAGAGAAACAAATTATAAACATAAAAAATTAGGAAAAACTATATATAACGGATCGGATATTCGGATAAACGGTTATTTAAACGGATGCATATTCGGATCGGATTTTAAACGGATCGGATATACAATTACCAGATCCGTATCCGTTTAGTAATCGGATATCCTTAATCGGATACGGATAATATCTGTTTAAAACGGATGCGGATATTTCCTCTTCAAACGGATACGGATGCGGACGGTAATCGGATTTTCGGCTATCCGTTTACAGCCCTACCTATAATTTAAATATGTTTTTCTACAAAAGACATCAACAAATGAGTTATTAGGTTTGACTAGATTTTTTTTAGAACGGTTTGACTGGATTTGAGTTTAACTTGTTTTGAATTTGATCCATATTGGGTCTAATCAATATTGGGTTTAATCAATTTTGGATCTAATTAGTTCCAGATTTAACTACTTCGGATTTATTCATATTCAGATCTGATTCGGAACTAAATATATTCAGTTCGGTTTTGATTCGGTTCTGATTATTTTGAGTGTTCGGGTTTAATTCAATTTTTCACTTTTCAGTTTCTTTTGAATTTGGTTCCTAGTTATTCGGTTTGGGTTATCATGTTCAGGTCTGGTTTGCCAAGTTTTGGTTGAAGGAGTATTCCGTACAAAAAGTAAAAAAATAAAGTGATACTCTATATATCTTAAAATAATTTTCTTACTTTATTATTTATTTAGTAAATTTTTCCCAAAATAAACTTTACATTTCTTTTGAAAAGTTGAGTGGATGATTCGTACTATATTTCTCTCTTTTTCTTAAATTCAAATAGCTCAATTTTACTTTTTCTTAGTAAAAAATACATAAAAAAAATTAATTTGGGAGTGTGGGTATTGAAAATATGAAAATTAAAGAGATAGTTCTTCTTTGGGCCTGTTTGGGAATAACGTTAGTGATTAGCGTTAGCGTTTTGAAAAAGCTATCTACGGGCAGTGTTTAGCGTTAGCGTTTTTAAAGAAATCTACACCGTTAAAATTTTATCTAAAATGCTATCGCTAATCTCTAACGTTATTCCCAAATAGGCCCTTTATACCACTTTAATAAAATTCTTAATAACCAAATAAAGATTTTCTCTCTTTAAATGAAGGGAGTGCATAATTGTCTAAGTTGGAACTGGGAAATGGGCTCATTGGCCCAATCCGTTATGTCCCTCTACGTTGAAATTACTTGTATACCCCTTGAGACCACAAACCATATCCATATCCCCACTAAAACAGGATCAATGGAGGGTAAAAATGTAAAGTTTCACTCCTCCCTCACACAAACCTTAACCCTAGCCCCTCAAATTCCACATAAACTCTGCAAGCTGCCGTCTGAGAAATCGGCTAACCAGGAACAATGACGAACGCATCTGAAGAAGAACCGGAAGTAGAGAGGCCACGTCAGCGCCGGCCACGGCCGTATCGGAAAGCACCGGAAGCATCCCGGAGGCCGCGGTAACGCCGGAGGCATGCACCACCACCGGATCCTCTTCGACAAGTACCACCCCGGATACTTCGGGAAAGTCGGGATGAGGTATTTCCACAAGCTCAAGAACCGGTTCCACTGCCCGATCGTCAACATCGAGCAGCTCTGGTCGCTCGTCCCGGAGGAGGTCAAAGGCAAGGCCACGAAGGACAGCGTTCCGATGATTGACGTCACTCAGATCGGGTATTTCAAGGTCTTGGGTAAGGGCGTGCTCCCCAGGGGTCAGCCGGTCGTGGTGAAGGCCAAGCTCGTGTCGAAAATTGCAGAGAAGAAGATCAAGGAGGCAGGAGGTGCTGTTGTTCTAACTGCTTAGTTTTACTTATTTCTTCCTGCTCTTCAATTTTTTTAGTTTTTCTAATTTCATCTTTCGCTCAAGTTTTGAACTCTCGAATCCTCTTGGAGAGATCTATGCACTTGAAGAATTGTTTTGTTACTATTGCCTGGATTTCGGATAATCATATCACTGCCATTAAATTATATATTGGGTTTTTGGCATTTGTTTTTGCATTTCTGTGTTTGATTGATTGCTGGCATGTTCTTGAAATTTATCCAAAATGGGATCTGACCTTTGATTCCTAAGATGAATAGTATATTTGGGATGAAATCAGTTGATTTATGTGATTAAGTGAATTTAACAGGAGATACTCCCTCCATTTCATAATTGTTCATATGATTTTTACTTTTCTATATGCAACCACAATCATACAAGTGCTGCTCATTACAAATTGTCAATCCCACACATGAAGATGATTATGGAACAATGGGATTAGTTAGTTTGATGTAGGTGTAATGGCCAGGGGTAATATTGTATTTATAACAGCTTGGCTTCCTAGTATGACATAAGTGAATTTATGCATGTGCATAAAAGGGCTACCTGACTTTGTTGCCCTTCTATAAAGAGATGACAAAAAAAAGAGTTGAGGAGGTAATGACTTGAACTGGTTATCTCCTTTTGCCTACAAAGATTCATTTTTGAAACAGCAACCAATCCAGTAAAATACCACAAAGTGAGGTGTGTTGGGTTGTTAAATTCCTTGTGGGCAACTCTTACCACTACCTAGAGAAGGTAGAACAAGGCCAGCCTATTTACAATGTGAAATTTACATTCACCTTCCGCGATTGCCTCTTTCCTCACATGATGTAAGGTACAACTCTTTAATTTGAATATGGCAATTAGAAAGCATCACTTGTAACTTTATTCTTAACTTCAAAAATATTATACAAAGTACATACTTAACTTATTTAAGACTTGTTCTTTTAACAGGCGTCAATTATATTGGGCAAATTAGCTTCATTTCCCCAATATAACTATTTTCCTTGGACAAAAGACTCTGCAATAAGTTACTTGGCTAGTCTCATTGGATTTGTTTAAAATATGAAAGTTGTTCATAACTTGGTTCGTGTTGGGTAAGATGGGAGATATGGTCTGGAGCCCGGATCTAGCTCTGTTTGTTACTGGTACAACCATAGAGGGAGATTGCATCAGTGTTACAATGGGAATTATGCATGATGCCATAAATGAAGTTTAATGAAAAGTGAAGAGATATCTCTATTCATAGACTCACTCTTGGTTCGTGGGCGTTTAAATGCAACCCAATGAATCTATTTCGAGTACTCTCGTTTATATTTGATCCGTGCGTGGGTTGCATTTAAAGATTCATGGACCAAAACCGATGGCTTTGTGAGTAGATTTCTCAAGCTTATATCTCCCCTTCATTAAGACTCCGGCATGAACATTGATCCCAAATCCTATTACAGCACTTGTAGTCTCTTTGGGCATTTTGGTTTATCAAACAATTAATGGAGACATGTATGCTATCCATACATCACCTTCACTTGCTGCTCAATGTTGGTTGATGATGTCTTGCATAAATTGTGGCATCATTATATACGTAAAATTGACTTTTGTCACACCTCCTTCAATAATTGATACCACAAGGAACATATTAGAATTGGTTAAAACTCATGAAAGAAAAGATTAAGGATCCGTTTGGTACGTGGAATTCAAACTATGGAATTAGAATCAGGGGTAGCAATTTCAATTCTGTTGTTTGGTAGCACAAAAATATGTGGATTTGGAATTGGTTGTGCCAAAAATGAATTGGAATTAGGTAGTGTTTGGATATGGGAATTCATTTCAAATTTTGAATTTCAATTCTATAATTTGAAGTTCCATAATTCAAATTTTGTTCGTGTTTTGGTAAACAAAAGAAATTCAAAATTTATAATTTCAAATTCAAATGCTGTTTGGGAAATGTTGGGTTGTTGTTGTAAATGCTGTTTGGGAAATTCATAATTTCAACACTAGAATTCAAATTTTGATATTGTTTTGCAAGTATTAGAATTTTATTTCAAATGATTCATGAATAAAATATTGTTAACATAATCTCAAATAACATAATAACCAATTGTTTCATAAACAAAATGTATGCAAATGTATGAAAGGATCTGGTGCATTAGTGCTGGTATGACAATTCCTTCAAGATACTTCCTTCACTCTACAAAGTCTATCATTCATTAATGAATCCATCCAATATGCAAGAATTTCTAGCACGTTCTTGTTCATTCCAAGATACTTCATTCACTCTATACTTTTTATACCATGCTCCCACTAATATAACGGTAAAGCCAATAACTATAGTATTGAGCTCCATTTCATCATCAGCATCATCATCATCATCTCTAATTTGCTTTCTTGTATCGCAAACACATTGATCATGAGACATTTTCTATTTTAAGAAAAAAATTATGGGAATGTCAAGGCGCGATGTCACACATTAAAAGTTAAAGAAAAGAAAAGACAATTTCTAACACATGGGTTGTAGATTTATTTTATGAATGGAGTAGGGGTATAAATGTGAAGGGTAAAAATGGGTCTGAAAGTGGATGTACATAGACCAATCTCTGATGATAAAAAAAGTAGAGAGGTTTGAGAAGAACCTCACTTGATAAAATAGAAGAGCAATTAGTAGTGTACTCAGAGTCTCAGACTATGAACAAAAGAAAAACAACTGCAATAGAGTGATAAAAGACCAAAGCTTCACATTCTAACAATTATTCTAAGACTATAAGAAAGAAGAAACTTACACACACACACACATATATATATACACATTACAAATTGTTTGGTTTTTAAAGAATCAAAATGTTGCAGAGTAATAATACTTGTATTGGCATATACTCCCTCCGTCCCTAAATATTTGTGACACTTTCCTTTTTTATCCGTCCCAAAAAATTCACCACACTTCTAATAATGGAAAGTAAATTGGTGTGTTAAGACTATTATACCCCTGCTTTTTGAGAATGATGTGATGTTAACTTTAATTAAATACTCCCCCTTTCTCCCTTATTTTTTGCCTTTGCTTTTTTCTTTTGTACGGGTGGGTGGGGGTATTCTTGGAAAAAAAATACTTTTTACCTACTTTCTAAAAATGTGTGCAAGTCAAAGTGTTGTGATTAAATAGGGACGGAGGGAGTACTACAATATTATTTGAATTTGATAAAAGGCATGAAGCAGGACACACTTTATTATCAGTGTATTATTCTTTAAACACAAACAATGTGTAGTTACTTTATGAACAGGGCACACCTTATATCTCTTTCACACTTGCACAAACATATGGGAGAACAAGAAACCAAATGAAGAAGCTTAATCCTAGCATAATACACAGGGACAGGGTTTAGCTCAACAAGGAAACCTCTCTTAGATTTCCACCATAAACTTTCCCCCCAAAAAATAATGTGTGTATTTCCAAGACGTTTTGCTTCGTTTCGTCTAGATACCTCGTTTGGAACCCGCGCCCACTTAGAACATCCATGGAAGATGTCCCACGCCCTAAGATGTGGGAATGAAGAAGAAAATTGCGTTTGATATTTTTCAATCGTTTGCTGCAAGACGTCTTAGCCACTCAAATATAAAAAAATTGTTTAACAAAAATAGTATTATAACTCAAAAAAATGAATGGAAAGTGTGTAAAAAATATGAGTAAGGTGTTGTATTTAAATAATGAGAATTTTGAAATTTTTTAAATATTTTTAGCCCTAATGGCTAATTTTCAAAAAAAAAAAAGAAAAAGAAATTGACCGTTGGCCAACGGGAAAAACGGGGAGGGAGCCCCGCTATTCTCGTTCCCGCGGAGGAGGAATTTGTTTGAGTTTTGGAATTATAAAAAAACAATATTAGTAACATATTTTAAAAATTATATTTGAAATTTTATAAAGAGGTGATTTTTTTAAGTTATTCGCCCAATATATTAAAAAATACGGAGTATTAAAATTAAATACTTGTGTGATATGTAGTGCGTAGTCAAAGAAACATTTATATGTTTCAAATCTTTGTAGAAAACCCAAAAAAAAATAAAATTTATAATCCACATTTTTTAAAGTGAAATTTGCATTAAATAACTTTAAAGCATATGTCCTTTTCCAATGTAGCACTTAAATTTTTTAATTTCCTAGAGAATATTTGAATAATGTCTAATGCCGGGAACAATATCCAGTGATAGACATTTAGTTTGAATAATGTCCAGTGGCGGTGAACATTTACTTGAACAATGATCAGTGAACATTGAACAGTAGTACTACATTAGGAAATAAAAACATATGATACTACATTGAAAAAGTCACTATATTTTAGTACTATTTATGTAAATTTCCCTTTTTTAAACTATAATATATTCGACATTTTAAACAAGTGTTTACCGAAGTACTATTTATGTAAATTTCCATCCATCTTTGAAACGCCTGACCATATATTGCCAGTTTCCCACCTAACAAGTTTTGCTTTTGTTGCAGGGGTGTGATTGTTTAGGCTACATCAAGTACTTTGATGCACACTTCACAAATTTCACAGGAGGCATAGAAACAATTGAGAATTGTGTTTGCATGCACGAGGAGGATCATGGAATCTTATGGAAGCATCAAGACTGGCGAACTGGCTTAGCTGAAGTAAGGCGCTCGCGACGGCTCACAGTGTCTTTCATGTGCACCGTGGCTAATTATGAATATGGCTTCTTCTGGCATTTTTATCAGGCTAGTTATTCGGGTCCATATGGGTTCAATAGAACAACTAGATCTTTCTATTGATATTTAAAAGACATCACATTTTCACTACAGGATGGGAAAATTGAAGCTGAGGTTAAGCTTACTGGTATTCTCAGTCTTGGCGCTTTGCAGCCTGGTGAAGTAAGAAAATTTGGCACCACTATTGCACCCTGTTTATATGCACCCGTGCATCAACACTTCTTTGTGGCTCGTATGGACATGGCGGTTGATTGCAAGCCTGGAGAAGCACATAATCAGGTTTCCTTTTCACATTTGTTAATATTAGTATTACTTTTGATGGCAAATCTTGTTTCTCTGTAGGTGGTAGAGGTAAATGTTAAAGTTGAAGAGCCGGGAGAGAATAATATCCATAACAATGCATTTTATGCAGAAGAGAGGTTGCTCAAATCTGAATTGGAAGCCATGCGTGACTGCAACCCTTTATCAGCTCGCCACTGGATTGTAATTTTTCTTCTCTTTCTCAGCACCTATCTATATGGTACCACAAGTGCATGCTTTAAAATTTCAGTTATTTTCCTTCTCCTGATTATGTGTTTATGATAATGGCAACAAACAGGTCAGGAACACGAGAACTGTAAACCGCACTGGACAGCTAACAGGTTACAAGCTTGTGCCTGGCTCGAACTGTTTGCCTCTAGCTGGTGCAGAGGCAAAGTTTCTGAGAAGAGCTGCTTTTCTAAAGCACGATTTTTGGGTTACGGCCTATGCACCCGATGAGATGTTTCCTGGAGGGGAGTTTCCTGATCAGAATCCACGCATTGGAGAGGGATTGACTACTTGGGTTAAACAGGACCGCTCTCTTGAAGAAACTGACCTTGTTCTCTGGTTAGTATGTTTTATCCCCACCCCCCCCAAATGTCTTATACAGATGACTCCTGAATAAAATGCAGAATATTGAGGTAGAAGGATGTATGTCTATTAACTGGTGCAATTACAATGTGGTGTTTTCAGGTATGTGTTTGGATTAACACACGTTCCTCGGCTGGAAGACTGGCCTGTCATGCCAGTGGAGCACATAGGTTTCACTCTCATGGTAATCTACTCTTGCATTTGATTTCACTTCTTTTCTATATTACCACGCTAACCTCCTCAAGTCGAGGGATGTAGGACGACTTCGGTTTGCATTTTCAAAACAATGGGATGAAAACCTCATTCCTAGGGTTCGTCAATGGATAAATTGAGCTATAATCTTAGTGTGACAAATAAAAAGAAAAAGGACTATCTCTGTCCTTGAGTATTTGTTTAGTTTTAATTTTTTGTAGTCAAAATTGATAAAGTTTGACCACTCATTAAATGAAATTGGTATTAGATACTGATACAAAAATAATTTTATTAGATTTATTTTTTTTCAATATTTTCAAAATATTATTTTATCTAATTAATATATCAAATATAATTTCCATTAAGTTCGAAGTCTTAGGTCGAAAATGGTGGACTGCAAAAAGTCAAAACTGAACAAATACTCAATGACTGAGATAATAAGAAATATTCATGATATGTGCAAGCCTGCTAGGGATCAATGCTATGCATGGATGTATATTATCGTTGTTGACAAAAGTTGAATCTGGGCATATTAGAGGGTGTTTGGCAGTGCGCTGCTTTTAACAATTTAACTTATGCTTTGAGTAGAAGTGATTTTACTCTGTTTGGCATGTAAGCTTCTGCTTTTTACCAACATTATTTTGTACATGGAACACCGTTTTGGAGAAGCAGGTATGAGATGTTTTTGCTTTCAGTTTTTGTAGAAATCACTTTATCCATAAGCTAATCACTTTCAAACACTCTCTTAGTATATTACCACGTTCGTATATCCCTTCTTTGCCATCTACTAGAGGTGGACTCATGTTGAGTCCCACGGTGTCCCGGGATCCCACGGACCTCAACGTAGGGTAGTATGTACTTTAGCTATTCTTTGAAAATAAGTATGTATATTTACGGTGTGCAAGGGACAAGTTTAAAGTTTGAGGTCAGTGGTCGAAACTCATTAGTCCTTTCACTTTTTTGTTTAAATTATGAGTTAATTACCCAAATAGGACCAGAACAATGCTTGCGGACACAAATAGGACCTAATTCATGCATGGGACTAAAAACTAAACTGAAATGTCTAAACCGCCCTTACGCTCAAATTCAACTGCTGGAGTAATAATTAGAAAGCCATCCGTTCCGAATTCCGTGCAACTTCCTTTATGGTATGTTTGGGAACATGGATTTGGATTTCAAATCTGGATTTGACTTAAATTCCATGTTTGGGAAACTTAAGCATTTGGAATTTGGATTTGAATCAAATTTCTTACATTCAAAACAAAGCTTAATTTGAAATCCGTGCACCTCTCCTTGTCATTTGAAATTCAGGATTTCAAATTTTGGAATTGAAATGCATGAATTGAAATGAAATTCTAGTTGCCAAACACTACCTTGAGGAATTTCTCAAACAAGTCTCTTATTCTCATCACTAACCATTGTTACTTCCTTTTTCTCACAACAATAGTGACCATCTTCGTGCTCATTCTGCCTATTATTGACCTCTATCTTCGTGAGTTACTGACCTAAATTGGTGTCTGTAGCAAATGATGATACTGGCGTCCATTCTCATTACTGTCTTCTATCAAAACATTATTGTCTTGTGTTACTGTCCTCTATCAAAATGTAATATTATTGTCATCTTGCCCAATGACATTTCTTGATCACATAATTTTATTTTTTTTAATCTTCGTGTCTAGTCAAAGGTGTAACTTTTTTTTATCAAGGAAGGGAGTAACACAATAAAATAAAAATAATAGGGCAGTACATTAGGTGACTATAGACAGTAAGACACTGCAAATAGTAAGACAATGTTTACATTGATCACTATACGGAGTATAAGAGAATGACATGAAAGTTATTAGAGGTGAACATCCATTCTAAACATAACATACTGAAATTATGTTTTATTCGAATTTTGTTGTATTCTGCCTTTAAATATCGACGGGTACAACAAGGAATGTACCCTAAATTGTACACTAAAAATATGCATTAACGTTTTGATGTTTCACACTAACACAAAATACTCGTGTGATAAAAAAAATTCATTAGCATTTTGTGCCACTATGAATCATCACAAAAAATGAGGGTGCACTCATGTGTAAAATTTGGGGTACATTTTTTAGTGTACAAGTAGCTTAAATTTTCAAATCAATTAAGCTACTTGTACTCCGAAAATTATACCTGAAATTATACACTGCATCTATGTACCTTCATTTTGTGTCAGTGTGATAAAATAAGAAATTTAAAACGAAAAAAGTAAGGAGGGTAAATATGTCAATTAAAAATAGAATGCACAACATTAGGACTGTATAAGTCTTATCGGCGTGGTTCAAGTGACATTAAATCTAATTTGATAGCAAGATCAGAATCTCCTACGAGGCCCCGTTGATTAGAGTGATGGTTTTTACCCCTAGAACTTCCCCCCTCCCCCTCGAGTTTGCCGATTGGCTACAGTGACCACTATAGCCAATTGTTGAACTGAGGGGTGGGTGAGGGGTTAAAGGATGTTGGAGGAGATAAGAACAATCAATTTTACCAATGGAGTCTCATAGGATATTTAGGCCATGAACATTCAAATCAAATGTCACATGAACCGTGCCGAAGTCTTTGTATATGTAAGAACGAAAAGCGGTCATGTTCATGCAGATCTCTTATGTTTAAGTTTTAGGGAGAAAAGACCAAAGTAGGACTATAATATTAAAAATATACTAAAATAAGATTTTCATGTTTTTATTTCCAAAATAGGACTAAAATGCATTTACATTACCAAACTTGGTCATGTACATTACCAAAAAGTATAGTAATGTGTACATGTACAGTGTCACATTACCACAGTGCGAAGTCTTATTTCGGGAGTATTTTGGTATTTTTCTCTATGTTTTAGTCCTATTTAGGGTGATTTCTATAAGTTCTATCTATAATTATTTTCTCTTAAAGATTAAATTAATGCTATATTAATGCCTTTTATTTTCTTTTGCTTTTTGTTCCAATAAATCATTTGTGCTATTTTAAAATTTTCCATTAATTTACTTCCTCCGCACTGTTGAGTATTTTATTTTTATGTTTGAGGTATACTTTTAAGGGAGAAAGACCAAAGTAGGAGTAAAACATTGAAAATATACCAAAATAAGACTTCCACGTTTTTTTTTCCGAAATAGGACTTACATTATCAAACATGGTCATTTATATTACCAAAAAAGTATAGTAATGTGCACATGTACATTGCCACATTATCACAGTGCAAAGTCCTATTTCGAGAAAAAAAACATGAATGTCCTATTTTGGTACTTTTCTCTATGTTTTAGTTCTATTTAGAGTGATTTCTATACTTTTAACCATTTGATAAGTTGCAATTACGGTGTAATTAATCTTTTTGGATATCTCAAAATAAGTTTTATTAAGGAATACTTTTTCACTTTCTTATTAAAGAAAAAAGATTGTGATCATACAAATTCAATTCAACCCCAATTTGAGTCGTACAAGACCTAGACATTTAAAGGAATACTTTTTTTTTATATTTTACAAAGTTAAATTGCAAATTTCATTTTTATACAAAATGAGTAATTAGTTTGCTTTTTTTCACATTAAAACATTATTTAGAATCTTTTTTAATTTTGGACGTTTATATCATATTTAGTACTCTGTAGTCCGTATATTTGATGAATTACTCCCTTGTATATTTAACAACTTTGGCAAAATGATACTCACTAGCAGATCCCTTATATATATATATATATATATATATATATATATATATATATCAGTAAGTCTAAAATGACACTAGTGCTACTGGTGTCATTTGCTTATACTAGTGTTTGGGGTACCTACGGTGTTCCGTTTGTAAAAACGATGGTTCCTACCACCCCTAACCCTCCCCCTAAACCCCCCACCCCAGCTACTGGTTGAGAATGTATGAACAGATACTACATCATAATAGAGTTATTAGTATTTTAAAAATATTCAATGAAGGTCAAAATGGGGAGTCTAATTTGAGACAAAAGAGTAAAAAAAAACATCTCCAAAAAATCATAGTTGAGATCCCATGACATAAAATTCCTGCCATCTAAATTTTCAAAACAACGTTGTTGTGAAAGTGATGACTAGAATCATCACAAAGGTATAGAATAATTTCCGAATCGGAAATCAAGATGGTGATTTCTAATTCAGATTTTAAAATTGACAAAAATGTCTTGCAAATGCAAAACCAAATATGCCCATGAATCCCATAATGAGAAACATCTGTACAACTAAAGCCCCGGGTATATTATACTCTCTCCCTCCCATAAAGTATTACCCATTTTGACTAAAATTGAAATTAAGGGGAGGATAATTTTGTATTGACTTTCCAAAAATATCCTTGATGTGATGGGTAAAAGTAGGATGTGATGTATAGATTATTAGGAAAAAGGTATGATGTGATAGGTAGAGTTTGAAAAGGTAAGGGGTAAAAGTGGTTTTTTAATAGAGGGACACATTTTTTTTGAAACGTGTAAATCTTTTTGGGACGGAGGGAGTATACGTGTATTGGCCTTGTTTGGGTATTAGCTTGGATGTAGACTATAAACTATTTGTGTTAGTTAGTTTGAATGGCTGGCCGATTGTCCTTTAGCTGTTAAGAAAAAAATTATTCAGCGATTATAATGGTTCATAACCAAACTAATTTTTTGTACAAAAAAACTTTAATTTTTGAATTTTGAAAAAAAAAAAGTTAAAATACATACAACATATAAGCAAATGCGTATTAAATTATCTTTTAGTTCCAAAAACTTCTTTACACTTGCGGAATACTCTGTATAACTTAAGAGTTAATTCGGTAATGTTTTCTATATGTATATGTTCGTTGATCTGATCTGATTTTTTGTAGTTCTGATCTGATTGGATCTGATCTAGTCTGATTTGATATTATTAGTTATGATTTGATTTAAAATTCAAATCAATAATTAGATTTGACTTTATAATAACGTTTGAAAATTGTAATGATATTTCATATTATAATATACTCCCTCCGTCCCACTGTGCTTGTCCACTTACCTTTTGGCACACCATCCAATGCACTTCTTTAATCCATTTTATCTTGTAATTTGTATATTAAAAAATTATAAAAATTATATATTAATAATCTATATGTTAAGACGAATCAAACAAGATCACACATGACTATTTTTAGGCTTACACATTAAGAGAATTTGATGAGTCAAAGTGCT